CTGCGCTGGCAAAATTTAAGGCTCCTACTATACCTCTAAAAATTTAGGATCTATAATCTTTCTTTTTCTTCTAAATAAATTTTATCCACCTAATACTTTTTATTTTTTATATTCTTGGATTTACTTTTAAAATTCGAACTTTTGAATTTTAAATTATAAGAAAGAGTGTATGAATTTATGATTAAGTTTTTTGGGATTCTCAAACATATAATTTTTGCCAAGAAAATGTATTCAAAAACAATTCTTGGAAAATGCATTATGAGAAATGAAAATAAATTCATTTTCTTGTATTTAGTTGAGTGTTTAGAAAATAGAAATCATCCTAAATAGGACTAAAAATAGAGAAAAGACTTCGCACTGTGTTAATGTGACATTGTACATGTGCACATTACTATACTTTTTGGTAATGTACATGACCATGTTTGGTAATATAAATGTATTTTAAGTCCTATTTCGGGAATAAAAATATGAAAGTCCTGTTTTAGTATATTTTCAATGTTTTAGTCCTACTTTGGTTTTTCTCCCTTTAGAAAATTAAAAAAAAAATACTCCCTCGAAAAATAGTTCATAAAAAAAACTCACGTCAATGATAGTTTCTAAAATAAAAGTTTTCATTCAGGCCCACCTTGGATCCAGCCATGTATTTCAGTCTCGATTTGATGCACAATACAACAATAATAAGTTTGACTGTGGATGTGGATTCGGACCATCAACCATAAATAACATTGACTACGATTACAGTACGACCGTACGAGGTGACTCTTGCTGCCTAACAACATATACCCACTTGCAGCATCAATGTCTAAAGGCTTGTGAGTTAGGCAAATTCTATTGTTGACTTAAGGTTTATCATGGACCTACATATGAACAAAATAAACATTTTTTTACTATTTAAATAAAGATTTGTTTTTTAAATAAAATAATAAAAACTACTTCCTCCGTCCCTAAATAAACTTCCCCTTTCGTTTTTTCTTTGTCCCCAAATAAACTTCTTTTTTCCCTTAAAAAACCTCTTTTAACCCTTACCTTTTCATACCCTACCTATCACATCATACCTTTTTACTAATAATCTACATATCACATCTTACTTTTACACATCACATCAAGGGTATTTTTGGAAAGTCAACACAAAAATATCCCTCTCTTAAATCCTCAAAAAGTCAAAAAGGGAAGTTTATTTAGGGACGGAGGGAGTAGTTGATTTCCAATTTTGTCCGTGATGTGATGGGTAAATTATTAGAGAAAAAGTATGATGTGATAGGTAGGGTATGAAAAAGTAAGGGTAAAAATGGTTTTTTAATAGAAAGTGGAAGTGTTTTGTTGGAAGTGGAAAAAATGAAAGAGAAAGTATTTTTGAGAATGGAAAGAATAATTTTTTAGTGTAAGAAGGTCCACCAGAATGATATGCACCTAAAGTGCACCAAAGAAGCACTTTATGAGTTATGACCAAGTAAATAGTTGCCCACTTTTTAATCCCACTACTTGTTCATTTTGGCCATGTGACATGCCACCTTCACAAAAGGCTACTATTTTTGTGGTAAACAATGTTTAAGAAACCATATTTTTTTTAAAGGAACCATATTGAATTAGTCATTCAACTTATAATTTGACCGCTTATCAAGCAGAAGATTAGACGCCAAAAATCTCATCATGTTTCAAATAATATGCAAAATTAGACCCCACTCTATGCAAAATTCTACTCTGTATCTCTTTTTAAAACATTTTATTTAAAATTTGGCATGCATATAAAAAAGACAACGTATATTTTTAAAAATTAAATCTAAATTTCTACTCCATATATGACACACAAAATGACATTTTTAGGTTAATTTGTTTAAAATATAATTTTGATAATAGGTAGTTCTCTATATTTAGTTCATATCTATCAATATAACTCAAACTTAGTCTCATTTCGTTAGTTCTTTCCATAGACAATCTTTAGTTGCTCATTTGTTATCTATTTGATAAATACAAAGTTTAAAAAATTTAATTTTCACCACAACTCTCAATTAAAACCCCTCCATTCTGATACGCACATCTATTTGTATAAATATGGAAAATCACCCATTATTGGAAACCATATATGAATGTCTCTTTTGGAAGCAATATTTCCTTTGCCTACTCTCATTTCATTTGGGTTGGAAAAATGAATTTCTAACTCCTTCCACTTTTTACTAATTTTTTTTTAGTTTTTTCAACAACGACAAAAAAGTGTTTACATATGATTAATATAATAACATATACTCCCTCCGTTTCTTAAAACCTTCCTCTTTCATTTTCTTTGTTTTTTCTTAGAACACTTCCTTTTTCTTTTAAAAAACCACTTTTACTCCTACTTTTTCATAACCTACATATCACATCATACTTTTTCACTAATAACTAAACTACCACATCTTACTTTACCCATCACATCAGGGGCAAAATTGGAAAGTCAACTAAAATTACACTTTCTTTATTTTGCTTCAAAGTTAAAACAAGAACTGTTTTAAGAAACGGAGGGAGTATTAAAATTTATAACATTCTACCTCAAACACGAACAAAGATAAAAAATTCTCCAATATTAGTTTTCTCATATACTACGTATTTATTTGGATGATTAATTAATTGAGTGAACTTTATAAACTTTATTTTTCCATCATTTTCAAATTCTTTCCTATTTTTTCTAACTTTTTCTAATTTTTTTCAAAATTCAACCCTGTTTTTACAACCCAAACGATAAAGCCTAACTATTGGGACGGCAGTATAAAAGGTTAAATTTTAGATTAACTTTTTTGAGGGAATTAAAATGACGATAAGAACATTTCCCAAAAGAAAGATGTGTGAGACATAGTGACATACAATTGGTAACAACATATCTTCATGTTCTTAGCGTTCATATTCTGGAAATAAAATCAGTCTATGACGATACCATAAATTCTTATCATCTATTCCTTGCATCTCGAAAATAGTGTTTGATTTTATAGAATTTATATAAAAAAATGTTGAAAAAAGAAAATGAGTGATTAAAATTATCTAATTGGTTTCGGAAGTTCAAGAGCAAAATAATTGGTATATAAGCTCTTGAGTTGAACTAACTAATCGACAACTGGGCCATAGGTCGTTGGGTACAAACGAGCAAAATAATTGACTGACAGGCCACAGGTCGTTGGGTACATACTCCATACGGACAACTGGGCTAAAGACTAACGGGCCGCTAGGAATGAACGTCTAGACGGACACCTTGACAAACGAGGTGGACCAAAACCTTCTCTAATACCATGATAGAATTTGGGATGTGGTAGTGATAACTGGATTGGGCTATAAGACACCTGGGATGAACCACATTAAAAGATTAAATCCAACCGATTATCTTGCTCTTGAACTTTCGATGTGGGATGACACTCTAACAGTGGAAAGAGGAAATATTATGAACCATAAATTTCAGTCTTAAATAAGAGCAAGTGTAAGTTTATTTTGAAACAAAAAGGGAAATTCTACCGTGGACACTTATGGTCCATGATGCACCCATAGTCCACGAATATGTCCTGTAAGCAAATGTTTATTATTGGGTAGGGGTGGGTAAAAAACTAAAATAGCATGGTGTCAAACCGGACCGTAATGGTATCGAACCATTTATAAAGTTTTTAAATGAGATTAATTTTCTTCATCACAAACCGAAACTGTCCAAACCGATATCAAACAGTACAGGACCGTGATACAAATATTTAAAACCGATTATCACTGATCAAATCGTTCAAAGTTGTATGCGGAGTATTTCAAATAATTATTTGTCTACTTCATATTACCATATATGGAGTACTTCGTATTGTATTATTCATTTTTTAAAATTCTTTCATTATTATTGTTGCTATTATATTTAATACTATTAGTACCATTATTTTTTGGAGTTATTAATAGTCTAATATTGTATGAATTGAAAAAAAGAATCTATTTTTAAAATTTAGACTCGTTATCTTTTATTCTTTATGTTTATGATCTTTCTAAATTCGAAATCAATACTTGTATTTAGCAAAGTTGTGCTTTTTTATACAAAATTATGCTTTTATTTTAATATTTTTTGAGTAATGCATGTTTATTTATTTTTTTTGCACGGGTTGAGCATGAGTATGATAATGTACTGTTTCGTTGCAGAACGGAATGATACCGAATGGTTTTGATGTTCATACCGAACCGTTTAAATAAAAGCGGCCCCGTGATAGGTTCCAGTAATATCACGGACCGTCGCAGACCACGCCACCCCTATTATTGGGATACATATTCTTAAATTTTAAAAAAAAAACAACATTTTTTTGTGTGAAAAATCCCACAAAATTTTTAGAAGTCTTAGGCGAAACACTCGTTTAAGAAATCCTTATAACAATGTGATGAAAAAGGGCAACACTTTTCGGAAATTGGTAGTTGGTTTTTCAACCGTGAAAGGGCGAGCCCAGATTCGTCACAATTTTTATTTGTTTACAATACACGGAGTATAAATTCAGAAAAAATAAACATTTTTTTTTTCAGTGTGAAAAAAAAGATGGTTGGGGCAAAGTTAGAATCACACACTTTTTTAACTTTTGTTTTTCATCTTCTTTTCAACCATACCCATTTTGCAGTTTCGGAGCCAACCCTAATCTCCGTCCTGATAGGCTGAGCTGACATATATGTTTCCAAAGGAAGAAGACAAACACCAACTATACCAAATGAAACCCAATTGCCTATGACACCTCACCCTTTAAGGCCAGAGAAAGAGTGGGATTAATAGTATAGTAAGATCCCAACCCCAAAAAATCAAGAAAATGGCAAAGAATTGATTGGGAACTGTGTTTTATTTTATTTTTTTTGTTCATAAACTTGGAATTTTCTTCCTCATCTACTTCACCCTATGATAGATCTATGAAGGGTAATGATTACAAAAGCATAAGAAAGTCAAGAAGGGACATATATATTGTATTATTATGAAAAAGAAAAAGCTAAGAAAGGAGTTATGTGATGGGATTAAATCAGATCATTATAATTACCTGTTATTAGCATATTCGTAGAGGCGGCCGCGGGTAGAGAAGACAATAAGAGCAACCTCAGCATCACAAAGAACAGACAATTCATAGGCTTTCTTGAGGAGGCCGTTGCGGCGTTTGCAAAAGGTGACTTGTCTATTCGTCGTGTTCTCTATCCGCTTTATCTCAATCTTTCCCCGCACTGTGTTTGTCGATGAAGATAGAGATTTCCCTTGATGTGATGACTCCTCATCCAACTCTTCTTGAGGATGATGATGGTGATGATTCCCAAAATCCATCTCTTTTTTTTTTTTAATTTTTTATTCTAATTATTCCTCCCCCTTTTAAAAGCTGAAATAAGCAAAACACATTGGTGTTTCCAGGTTAGGGAGGGGATGACATTTCAAACCTTAATTGGGGAATATCAGTGGTGAGTTTGAAACCCCCCAAAAAATAAGAATTGAGTTATTTGGTCTATTTCTTTTGGTCTAACTAAACACAAGTAAAGAAATGAAACAAGAATCTCACTTGTCAATTAAATTGAAATAAAACCCAAAACAACAGCAAGGAATTGAATGACAGAAAAAGAATGAAAGCCCAACAAGAATATATAAAATAAGTAAAAGAAAATAATTAATTATAATAATCACCTCAATGGAAATGGTTGATAGCTAGCTGTATGTTGCAGGAAATGGAAGTGGGTTGGAGAGGGAAGAAGATATATATAAGTATATATTTATGGATAGAAGAAATGGACATTCCAACAGCAATGCTATATACTTCTTGTGTATATTTATGTCAACACTCTATACTATACCATGCTACTACACATATTGTAACTCCATCTTTTATGTATGTATGTATGTATGTATGTATGTGTTATCATATAATAGCATATAGAATCCATTGCCTGTCCATTTTCTCCAGGCATGGGTAAAAAGTATGGGCGGGGGAAGGAGAAAAAAGGTGATCAAATTGAATTGAAGCTCTAGAGGACCTTTTCGAAAGTGAATATTCTTTTTCTTTTTTAAAAAAATTGTTTTGGCTTTTTGAGATCTTCAACTAAAGATCGACTTTAATAGGGGAAAAAATGTATTAAACAACTCTCAGATTGGTAAGTGGAATTCAAATTATGGAATGGGAATTGGGGATAACAATTCCAATTATGCTTTTTGGTAGCAAAGAAAATATGTGAATTTGGGATTGGTAGTACTAAAAATGAATTGGAATTGGAGAATTCAATTCCACCCAAATCAATTCCATAGCATTTCAATTTCCAATTCAATTCTAATTCCACCAATTCCGTGTACCAAACGAACCTTCAAAATGTATATTCTGTATATTTTTTAATTTTAAAGTTCACTTGCTATATGTAATAACTTCAACACACTCTAGAAAACTAGAGGCACATTTTGACTTTACATAAGACAAATTATGAAGTGGTGTTCACTTTACAATTTTGTCCTTGATATCATATGTTTAGATTAGAAATGAGTGTATAAAAGCGATTGAACAATATAGGAGTGGGTATGTTGAAATTGAAACAAATGTGCAAAAATAAGAAAAATTTGATTTATATAAGACTAAAAGGTAGTACGTTTTCCTGAATAGGACCAAGTATGATTTACTTTTTTTATGGCTCATAATTCTATATGATCTGCCATATATGCCCTCATTAGCAACAAATATTAAATAATGACTGATTATACGAATAATTTTACGAATATGATTATTATCAATAAGTGTTAGATAATGATTGATTATTTTAATGATTATTCAAACTGTTTTTAATGTCTTATTCAGCATTAACTGTGTAATAAGTCATTTTTTTCAGATGCATGACATTTTAAAACTTTCCATTTCCAAAGATTAGATCGAGTAGATAAGACTGATCCTATTTAAGAAAAAGTGATAATGTTGAAATCATATTTGGGTAAATTACTCATTACTCCCAATCTTCATGATATAGGAGTCATGAGTCCGGAAAATTTTACCCATGGTTGAAAAGTTTTCCCGTTGGAAAACCTGCCACAAAATAATTATTAGAATGTTTATTACTGTTGGTGAAGATGTGAGGTGACGCAAATGGAGAGTAGTGGCATGTGATGTCCTTCTCAACTTCTCCCATAACTGTGTTCATTTATGGTAAGGCTTGCCCTACTCCATCATACACTTTTAGCTGCATTATATTTGATTCCCATATTTAAATTTACACCATATATATATATATATATATATATATATGTAAAACACTCTTTTTCCATATCTCTATACAAGCTAAAGATTCACTATATTTTAGCTTTGTAGTTTGATATAATAAACACAATAACTCTTATCAAAAACCTTGTAATTTATTTAGTTTAGTTATTCAATTAAATTATAAGATGTGTTGTATAATTTTTTTTAAATAAAATTTTATTTTTAATTTTAATGAAGATGTATTATTTGTTTTTTTTGCTTGAATGGAATTATTTAACACAACCATTTGTGGCGTGACAAGCGTTGTACAAAATACGTGTGACCTTATACTATCTTTGAAACACATAAATTATTTCTAAAAATAAAATAAACATAAATAATTTATTTTTATTAAAAATTGTGTATGGAAAAATTAATACAAAAGTACAAAAAATTAATATGAAATATATATTTTAAATTAAGGTCTAGGTGTATTAAAATTTATAGGATAAAGTAAATGGTGAATTGTTTAAAAGTTTATCAATAGTTTTATTTTTAAAAAATATAAAATAACTTTTTTGCATTTGAAAGTACGGAATATGCTACAGTAGTGAAAAAAATAACTTTTTTGCATTTGAAAGTACAGATATGATAAAAAAATATAAAATAACTTTTTGCATTTGAAAGTACGGAGTATGTTACAATATTGAAAATGTAAAAATAATTATTACTCCCTTCGTCCCGGAAAAATGAGAGTTTTGATTTTGAAGATGGATTTAAGGGGAGTGTATTTTAGTGAGAAAGCAAAGGGTTAGAAGACAAAAAGTTTATAAACTGTAATATAATATGGTTATTTAATATAAAATCTAATACGCACGTGTGGCATGACATGTGGCGTGACATGTGTCAATAAGGAACACACGTGGCATGCCATGTGTCACATAAAGCATATGTGGCATGACACGTGTCGTCACCACAATTAAACCGATCAGTTTTATATATAGATACTAGTGTTTTGACCCGTGCCATGCACGGGGTGGAACAATTTTTTTTTTTTCATCGTGACAAAGATTTTCAAATATCAAAGAACATAAAACATATAGAATTCTCTAATGAAAATTCTACTATATATAATTAAAAATTAACATTTCAAAGTCTTATTTAAATTAGAATATTCTGAAAAATGTTGAGGTATACAATATTTTTTTGTGAAGTTATAAAGATTATCAAAGACATGTAAAACTAATAATTTCCACTTTATTTTTACTCTCACTTGTGAAATAATAATATGAATTTAACAATAAGTGAATACCATTTCGGTAAAAATAATATTATTAAAGCGAATATTTGAAATTATTTTTTTTATAATCATAAGTCATAAAAAAACATAAACTATTGAAAATTATATTCTTTAAAACTTCAAGAGTAATCATGTATGAAATGATATACAGAATATAAATCATTTATGTTGTGCATGTAAACCTTCTCTAAGGCTTTATTTTCTAATTCCACAATTGCGATGAAGATTAATTTTCACAACTTTCAATGCTTAACCTTGTACTATTATACAATTCAGAGAGAAGGTATATGGTACAGCCGGTTGTACCAGAAGCGAAGTATATTTGAGTAGTATTTATTCTAAAGTAAAGTGGTATTCATTCTCACACAAATATAAACGTTCATTTTAAAATAACGTAGTACTCATTCTGAAATAACATAGTACCTATTTTCACACATTTATACAATACAATTATAATAATCATTTATGAATAACTTAGTGTTCATTCTCAAACAAAGTGGTGCTCATTCTCAAATTACGTAGTGTTCATTTTCAAGTAACATACCGTTCATTCTCTTCAAATTTGGAAATATAATTTTATAGTCTAATTAAACTTACATTACTCCAAATTACTCCAATTAGCATCGACATCTTCATCGCTGTGGGCATCAATGATAGTTGGACCTAGGGTTTATCAGTTCCTTCTAGATGAATAGCATCTGAATCGTCTCTCCTGTCCGCACCTAAGGTTGCCGCCCTTCCGCGCAGACTTGCAACAATCCAGATCTTCTATCGTATCACACCTAAGATCCTTGCGAAAATCCAGATCTTCCGCAAGATTGCTCCGTTTCATTGATTCGTTTTAAGGCTGGTTGTACCCAAAATTGGGTACAACAAATTGTAGAACATAAATTGCACAATTCAGATGATTGATTGATGTTCCTAGATAACATAATGGGTATAACATTCTTCAAATTCAAATTATTTTGTGGTTTGATATTTACAAACATTTGTTCTCCTTTATAAACTCAATTATTATAAAATCGTCATTGATTGGCAAAATATATGATCCCCGCATTGGTTTAAATTATTGAAAAAATTGATGAATCTCCTCTTAGTGATATGATTCTCTTCTCTCAAATTAATTTTTTTTAAAAAATATGATTTTCCTTTGCCCGGTTTAATTAAAAAAATTGTGATCCTATAACTATTCTTCATTGTATTAATTAAAAAAAATAGATTACTAATTTTACCATCCAAAAAAATATAATTCTTTTACTCCGCATCACCACATTAATTTATATTAGTGCAATAAATATTACTCATCAATTGTATTGTATAATATAATTTCAAATATTATATCTTAATAGATAATTAAAAATAATATATCTTTAAATTTATATCATAAATTATCTAAGAACAATAAATCATAAATTGTCTAGTAATAAAATCAAATCATAAAATCAATTTATTCAAACTATGGAATTATGTATAGTATTGTTTTCTATTTTAGAAGCAACTATAGTCTAGTTATCTCTTGTTTTATAAATATTTTAATTTAGTTTTTAACGTATATATTTTTTATTTTTCCATCAATATTGTAATTAATGGAATCAAAACTAACTTCATTATAATATATCATACAAAGTACTCGTATGACATTAATTTAAAGGTAAAATAACATCTAATTCTTTAATTGAAAGTTTTAGTATAAATGAAGATAATAAAAATCATTGAATTAGTCAAGAACTTTCTCATAAAAATGAATATTCTTCGTCCGTAATTAATTTTTTTCAAATATTTTATATTAAAACATTGATTATATGTTTTATATGTCATAAATTAGGTGGCATATTATGTGTCAGAAAAATATGAAATTTCTTTATAGGTAAGGAAAATATTTTATTTATTAGGTTTGAATATTTAGATTAATATAATTAGAATGGATTTGTTTAAAGATATCACAAGAAATTACGAATATAAAATTAATTTATGGGTGAAGATAATATTTATTTATTCTTTATAAGCCTTTTCTATTTAAAGAAATTACAGTAAAGTTATATCTTTTATTAGAATTTCTTAATGTAGTTTTTAAACTATACTGTTTGGTTTTAATTTTACATCAATATTAAAATAAATAGAATCAAATCTAATTTCATCTAAACATTTCATAAACAAATACACGGGATAAAATTGGAAAAGTAATTTAGATGTCAAAAAACATATTATTTATTAATTAAAAGTTTTACTACAAATCAAGAGACCTAAAAAATACTATAATGAATTGGAAAAAAAATATTATCATAAGAACATATGTTTCTCTTTAATAATTTAATTTACTCAAAGATTTCATATCAAAATATTGAATTCACATTTTCTATATACTTAATTAGGTGGCATATTAAGTATCAAAAAGATATAAAATTTATTTATACGTGAAAAAATATTTTATTTATTAGTTGTCAAATTTTAAATAAATATAATCAAATTAATCTCATGTAAACTTATGAACAAATATAAAAATTATTTCTATGCGAAGTGAGTATTTTATTTATTATTCTAAAGTTTTATTATAAATGAGAGAAGTTTATAATTTAGATTTATTAGGTGTTTAAAAAAAACCGGATAAATAAAGCATATTTTAGTTTCTTAGTTATCTAATAAGTATCATTTTTATATATAAAGAATTAATGATTCTTTATTTGTCTTAAATGTTTATGTGGATTATACTAATATTCTTCTATTCTAAATATGTACAATTTGATAAAGTACTATAATAAAAGGTTTATATATATCTGTGTGTGTGTGTGTGTGTGTGTGTGTGTGTGTGTGTGTGTGTGTCTTTTAAATATATGTTTTATTAAATATATACGTAGTGATCTGATTTTCATTTTTATATATAATGAATTACTGATTCTTTATTAAATACTATTTGCATTTTAATTATATATTTTTTATTTAAATATATATAATATTTAGTAACTTTAAGATTAGTACCTTTTTTATATCAAATACTCTGTATAAACTAAAAAATATGAAAATTTATAGACGTGTCTAGAATATCTTTTTTATTATAGAAAAGGTTTATTATATATTAAGAGAAATTTTTATTAATTTTAAGTTCAGTAGTTGATATAATTTTAAATAATTATTATATTTATTTTGTATTAAATACTTTTATAATTATAAGTAGATCAAATTGTTAGCAACAAATGCTAAAAATTTTCATCTTGTTTTAGTTTTCTACTCTTTATTTACTTTTCCATTAAAAATGATTTTCTTTCCTTTTATCCTATTGACAAACTCTTTAAATAAATGCTTGAAATTCTTATTTTTTAAAATTTTTTTTCTTTTAATTCTATTGACTAATTTTTAAATATATTTTTGTTGATCATTTGACAAATAACATAATTTTTAGATCTTCTCATGAATTGTATGATTTATAAATGGCATGATTACCACATTTTATTTTTTAAAAATATTCATATACCTAAAAGTTTGTTCAAAAATTTTATAATTTATTAAATTCAAGCCAGGTATTAAAAATGTTCATGTATACTTGTGATAAAATAATTTTTTTTTAAAATTTACAAAATCTAGTAATTATAAATTTGGATTCATGAATTCAAAATAATTAGTTATCATTTTAAAAAAAAGTAAAAAAGATGAAATATTTAAAGAAGGAAGGAGAAGGAGACGAAATATTAAAAAAGAAAATAAATCTTTAAAGATTGCCACATGTCATTCTTTAAATATTAACAAATGTCACTCTCTCAAGTTTGACACATGTTATTCTTTTAGAGATCAAACTCTCAAATTTATAAATAAAGAATATAAAGGTTTTATTTAATAGTAATTACAGTATAACAATTAATATTATGACATAAATATTTCGATTAGAAACACCAATTAGTAATTAATTTCTTACACATAAATACTCACATACTAAGTCTTCATCATTTTAAATATTATTAATGGAAAATAGTACTTTTGTGACACACATCTATAAATTTTTACAAAGTTAGTAACAGAAAATAATAGTTTAAAAATGGAAAATACTAATTTTAAAATGAATAATATTTGTTATTTGACTTAGAATTTTTTTAATATATACGGAATAAAATTATTTCTCTATTAAATAAACATGCTTATAATTTCCCTTTTCTTTTATATATTTATTTCTCTTTTTCCAAAGTTGGAAAATCTCTCCAATTAGTATTTATTCAAAGCAAAAACAAATATTCACATGTAATTTCTTTTAGTCCTAGCTACCAATCTATCCGTTCACAGAATAAATTTATTTGTTTTGATTATTGTTTTGAATATGAGTTCTTTTTCAATTTCAAAATATATTATTTAATTTAAATATTTTCCAACAACGAATTGAGATATAAAAGTTTTTAAACACGATTATGCTGAGAAACTTGTGCGTAACAAATACGAAATTTAATTTCTATAGAATATGTTTTTTTGTTAACTAATTCTTTAAATATAACTTGATGACATGGCGTGCTGACATGTCAAAAAAATTGTCTAAGAAGTTCACCACATGTCACAATTCTAGAAGTCTAACTGTAAAATTTTATATATATATAGATAGATAGATGCGGATGGGTAGAGGATTTACCGAGGGATTAGGGGGTAAGAACCGTCATTTTTACGAACGGGGCACCGGAGTGCCTCGAGTCATTCCATGACATTACCGGACAATGTCATGGGAACCGTCCCATATATTGTGATAGAATACTTAGTTTAAAGTAATTTAAAATGACTGTTTAAACTGTCTATACTTCTTCTATAAAGAAGTAGTAGTTAGTCAATGCAACTCTCGACGCTTATTATCATGGATAATCCTGGAACAGTCACTCTATGTTTTGTACATACAATGTTTTATACATAAAAGCCAGGCAATGTCCATCCCCCAATCCCCCATTGGGCAGGAGCGTTTGAGGTAGTGAGGTAATGTTGTTATTTTTATATGTGAAATAATTACCCCGGCTCCTTTATACTCAATCTATCTTAAAATGGACTTCTTTGTTTGACTTTCACACAATTTAAGAAGTATATATTTTTTACAGTAGAATTTAAGAAATATGTTAAAAAGAGAAAAAAAAGGTGGTTAAAGTTTGATAAGATGAGAGATTTTGTTGCCACATAATTCTTTCCCTTTAAGGAAAATTAATATTATTTTAGAACGTCTAAAAAAAATAAGCAAGATTATTCAAATACAGAGGAAGTATATTTTTAAATTACTATATTTAATATTAATATATTGGTAGCTTCCATAATTGTATAGGATGTAATTAATATTGTTTCCTATTCTCATTAGGAAACTCTTGTATATATATACATGTAATCTCTCATAATAATTTATGAGAAAATATTCATTCTTCATGGTATCGGAGCAATAATCAATCACAGCTCCCTCTCCAACCCTAATTCTCTTCTTCTCTGTTTCGGCCCCCCCTCTCACGGCAGCCCTTCTCGCCGGCGACCATGGCCGAGGTTTCCTCCGTCTCTTCCGATAACAACTCCTCTACATCTCCCCACCTTGCCTTCACCACTATCTCTAACATTAAACTCCATATTCCTGTCCAACTCAGTCTCTCAGAACCAAATTACAAAAAGTGGAGTCGGTTGTTTCGTCTCCTGATCCTCCGCTTCAACCTCAAAGGCTACATCAATGGCACAACCCGTGTCTCCTCTGCCGATGATACTGAATGGTATCAATTTGATGCCCTAATTCAAGGATGGATCCTGGCTACGATCTCGGATGAAGTCTCCGACCTTGTGCTCTCCAACAATCTCACTGCTCATGCACTATGGACGGCAATTTACAATCTTTTTCACGACAACAAGCACGCCCGAGCGATGCAACTAGAGCACCGTTTCCGTACAACTGTTAAAGGTCAACTCTCCATCAACGAATATTGTCGTCTTCTCAAGAATCTCTCCGAGTACCTAGATGACGTGGATGCTCCTGTCACCGAACATGCCCTTGTACTTCAGGTTCTTCAAGGCCTCCCTCACAACATCCGGAGTCAAGTTCAATTCTTGCAATACCAAAATCCACTCCCGACTTTCTTGGAGGTCCGATCCGCCCTACTTCTCGTCGAACAGCAACAAACCGACGCCATGTATGGCGTCGGCTCGCCGTCCACAGCCCTCCTCAACACCGGCGGCGGCGGCGGACAGACGGGCAGCGGATACCAGGGAGACCGAGGCGGCGGCTACGGCAGGCCTGGGAGCAGCGGCAGCGGCGGATTTGACGGCGGATATGGCGGCGGCTACGGCGGACGCGGCAGGCATTCCGGCGGTGGCAGTGGAGGCGGCATTCGCGGCAGGGGTCGCGGCGGCGGTCGCGGTTGTGGCGGCGGCAATCAACGACAACCTGTGGGCTACCTCCCCTGGACAGCTCCCTCCTCTACCCCTGGCCTACTTGGGCCACGGCCCAACACACCCCACCCACTAGCCCAAGTCCATATCCACCAAAGCCCACATCTACCCAACCCATATTCACCCAACCCATTCTACCCAACGCCCGACCCAATTAACCCAAACCCAAGTCAAATCACCCACTACCCAACCCATTCCCCCACATACCCGAACCCCACCCCCAGCCCACTCCCCTGCCTACCCGTACCCCTACACCACCCCACCCAATCCCACTGCCCTAGCCAATAGCCTTGAAAGCCTCACCCTCAACCCCACCCAATCAAATTGGTTCATGGACACCGGAGCGTCCCATCACATCACTTCCGACCCA